TTCTGCCATAGGCAGCAAAGGTTTGTTCATTTACTCTTTGGTGCTTTCAAGACATCATTATCTGCATAACCATTTTTCACATCTAGAGGGACTTCTGAGATGAATCAGAGGCAAACCCCTAGGTAGTTGTTTTAAGCAAAACTACACACATGCTGATTTTTTTTTTTTTTTTTTGCGGGGTAGGTGGAGGGAAGACAAGCTCTATTCTTCATCTGAAGAACCAAAGTGACTCCATTTTAAAACAATAAAAAAAGCAGCCTCCATTTCCCATAGCAGACCCGAATCCTTGTAAAAGCAGGCATTCCAGAGATATCAAAGCTTACCAGGGACAGCTTGCTCGGTAGACCAAGGACAGCACAGTAGAGATTGATAAACAAAGTAACTTCCTGCGCCCAAAGCCTCCATGCTGTATATAACTCTTTTTTCCTGCTGATGTGGCCCTTTTTTCCTTTAAAAATTCTCCCAAACAAAGACCGGGGCCTCACTCCTTCCTCCGCTGTGCTGGTTGGTTGGATGGGGTCCCTGTCAGGCTTGTACTCCTGAATAAACCTTGCTTTTGCAGTTTGGTGTGATTGACTCTCTGGGGGTCTCTGTGGGGATCTAACGATCTGGGCACAACATATTTTTTGGTGCCCAACACCTCCCACAAAAGAAACCCATACTAGAAAAGCATCCTGCTCTCTTTAATAACCACTGCTGACTGGGGAGAAGAGGAAAGGGTAAGACAAAAATGCCATCAACCTATTATGTTTCAGTTGCCCTTTTCTTCATTTAAGCATTTGCTTCATTGCTTTTAACTTTTGACTGTTTTCATGATTTCCAATACAACTAGTTCACTTTATGCCAGTTTTTCCAGTGTCCCTATGGAAGGGTAGGTACCTTTCAACTTCGCTTACAACATTTTTAATGTAAACAGACATAACATCATTTGGGTGAAATTGACATTTTTCTATTTCAGTCTAAATGAGCGGTGCTTTATTAAAAATTTGTATAAATAAAACTCAAATGTGTGTGTGACAAAAATATGTGTATAAATTTATAAGTAGTTAAAAGTATAGGAAAATTTATAAATGACAAATGCAGAAAGAAAATTAGTGGTTAACATATGCATACTTGTCTCCACCCAGCACTCAAACTTTTTCCACCACTAGAAAAATATCATTAGATATATTATTGATCTGACCTTGACGGGCTTCTTGTTGGTGTATGGAAAGTACTATTTAAGATTTTAAACTTAATGACTTCTGTGTAGTCTGAGAAATGCTAAGTCTTTATGAGTCTATCAAATATTTGTCTCCAAGGTTCTCTAGCTAATGTGTTTGTCACAAGTCATTCTTAAAACACCATGTTTAATGTTGTTTATCCCCAAACAATGATGTTATGCCTTATTTAGAATAACCACTCCTTTATGTACCTCTAGGGAGGTTCTCATAATAACAAGAAAGGAAGTAACTGTCAAACTCTAAGGTTATAACAAGATCCAATCTCCCCAAATCACTATGCCAGAATTGTAACTGACAAGTGAGGGATATTGCTTATGTGTAAAATAATAAGATCAACATACCTAACACTATTTCTTTACTCTTAGGAATAGCTAATCCGAATTTAAGTATGCTGAGCAAAATGTAACAAGTTATTCATCATATATTATAAAGTGAAAATCATTTATATCAAAATTTAAGTTAGGATTTTACTCTCAAACTAGGTAGAAAAGTACGAGAGTGGTAAATCCACATTGAATACAGTGAGTCCAGTTGAAGTTCAATTCTAACTGTGAAGCAAAGGTAAAGCTATCATTTATGTGATTTTGCCCATGTCACAGTGTGTAAGGAGATCATAGTTGAGTCTCTTTGCAGTTTTGCCTATTAAACTTCCAAGTTCTAATTCTCTGTAGAGTCACTTCTCCAAATCAACAACTCTATAGAGAAGCCACTGGATTTTAAACGATGAAATTCCCTAAGCAGTTTTACTATGGCAGTTATTTCAATGATCAGAAGAAAGCACAAAATGCAGGCTAGAAAACCTTTACTGATATTCAATAGGGAGGACTCCCTACACCTTGTTCTTAAGTGTCTTGGGTAATGATTCAGTACCATTAGGTTTAACCAACAGATTAGATGTACTCTGTCAATATCATTTCATCAGTTGCACACTAGCTGGAAGGTAATTTTGAGATGTGAGCAGACCAACAAAGCTAATTATAGTTCATTAGTTTTTATTATTTGTAGTAGTATTTGACCTCGAACTCCAATTGTGATTTCAAAAAGTATAAAACATTTATTTATTTGAAAGGCAGAGTGACAGAGACAGTGACAGAATATGAGAGAGAAATGCAGAGGGAATTTCTAAATTCACTGCTGATTCACTTCCTGAATAGCTGTAACAACCAGGGTTGAGCCAGAGTCTCAAACTTGGGTGGCAGGGGCCCAAGCACTTGGGCCAACTACTGCTGCCCTCACAGGCACTTTAATAGAGAGCCAGATTGGAAGTGGAGTAGCCAGGCCCTGTACTGGCACTCTGATATGGGATGCCAGTGTGGAAAGAGGCAGCTTAACTTGCTGTGCCACAAAACCAGCCCCTGTAACTTCTAAATTTCTAAGTCAATTTTATGGAATGTAATATTATTTGATAGTGGGAGGGATAAAAGGAATTGGGACAAAATGTGGTTCATTATTGTGACAAGTAGACTACAGTGAGATGTTAATGGGGGAAGTTGGAAGTGGAGTGAGGGGTGAATAGGAGCTTTTGTAACCACCTCACAATCATTGTTTGGTTTAATTCTGTAATTAATACACAGTTATTCTTAAGTGTTGAAATTTAACTGAAATGTGATCCCTGTTAAACATAAGAGTAGGAATAAGAGAGGGTAGAGATGTACAATTTGGGACATGCTCAAGCTGACTTGCCCCAAATGGTAGAGTTAAAAACATATCAGGGGACTCCAATTTAATCCCATCAAGGTGGCATGTACCAATGCCATCTCACCAGTCCAAGTGATCAATTTCAGTTCACAATTGATCATAATGAAAGGACTAAGAGTCAAAGAAAGCAAGCACATAAACAAGTCTAGTACCTGCTAATACTAACTGATAGAATAAATAAAGGGGAGAGTGATCCAACATGGGAAGTGAGATACTCAGCAGACTCATAGAATGGTGGATGTCCTAAACAGCACTCTGGCCTCAGAATCAGCCCTAAAGGCATTCCAATCTGGCTGAAAAGCCCATGAGAGTATTTCAGGCATGGAAAGCCAAGACACTCTGGCAAAAGATCTCTGTGAGTGAGATCCCAGTGGAAAGAACAGGTCATCAAAGAAGGAGGTACCTTTCTCTGAAGGGAGGAGAGAACCTCCACTTTGAATATGACCTTGTCTAAACAAGATAAGAGTCGGAGAACTCAAAAGGCTTCCATAGCCTTGGAAACTCATGACTGGTGCATAGGGAGATTATTGATGCCATAAACAGGAGTGTCAATTTGTAAAGTCAACAACAGGAGTCACGGTGCACTTACTCCTCATGTAGGATCTCTGTCCTTAATGTGCTGTACATTGAGACTTAATGCTATAATGAGTACTCAAACAGTATATTTCGCTTTGTGTTTCTATGGGGGGTGCAAACTGTTGAAATCTTTACTTAATGTATACTAAACTGATCTTCTGTTAAAAAAAAAAAAAAAGAAATTATCAATTCCCAACTTGACTCTCACTGGGATTAAACATGACAATAGGTCTGATCTGATTTCATCATCATTTAAAAAATCATCTATTATTTTTCACTTTATGTTTGTGTGGGAGCAAACTGTTGAAATCTTTACTTAATGTATGCTAAACTGATCTTCTGTATATAAAGAGAATCGAAAATGAATCCTCATGTGAATGGAAGGGGAGAGGGAGTGGGAAAGGGGAGGGATGCGGGTGGGAGAGACGATATGGGGGGGAAGCCATTGTAATCCATAAGCCGTACTTTGGAAATTTATATTCATTAAATAAAAGTTTTAAAAAAATAAATTTAAAAAATTGTTACCCAGTTATAGGTATTAGAACAAATGATTATACTTAGCTACTTATGAACAAGAACTAGGAAAATTATTTTGAATAGATTTGGGAATATGTGATAAGGTTAACACAATTTTACTTTATACATATTTTTCATAGACTACTGTTTTGCAAAGATGGCTTTTTTCTTCTTAGCACACACATTACTCTCCAAGACAACTTAATGAACATACTCCAGTGGCTTTCCTAATTGCCATTCTTCTTTGAAATCAACTCAGATGATGCACACCTGATTCTTGATTGAGACTATGGCTAGAATTTCCAATGGATGGTCTATTAATCAGTTCTTAGTGAAAACCAAATAATAACCCTTAGGAAAAACTGTGTGGGACTAAATAATTATTTTCCTTAATTCATTCTTGGATAACACTACAGAACATGTATCAGCTTTGAGAGTTTGAGAGCCTGGACATGAACTGTATTTTTCATTTCTGGTCATCATCTTCCCTTACTTCTACAGGTTAGGTGAAATATACACCATCAATCTACAAGATTGTGAGAAACAAAATAATGCATGCAGAAGTGCTTATATGCTAAAACAGGTTGCAAATATAGGGCTGCCCTCCAGAATTTGATTTTCAAAAATGTTTCACTGAGTTACTCATTCATACCAGGAAAACTGATCTTTCATCTGGATTCTGGGAATGGGGCTTTCACGGTAAGCTTCTTCCATAAATCTTAAAAGCAAAATGTCCATTGTGGGTTAAGATAGCTTTTCGTAGTTTTGATCCCTGGGTGACACTGCCAAACATGGGGGATTATGACTTTGGAGACAGGATGTGTTGTTTCCACTGCCTGATGCCTTAGAGACAAATAGTAATGAGCGTCTTAGATCCCAGAAAAAAGCTCCTATTCATAGGTCAGGCAACAAGTTGTAGATCCTGGTCTTCCTGCTTCCTGTTTTATGAAGCTTTATCTAATTATGATTAATAAGAACAAAACACTATTTGTAACAGTGCACGTCCTTTATAACTGAAACTTCAATAAGTATAATTTTCAACATGACATTTTCATGCATATGCTTTATCCCTGTACAATACTCACAATTCTTTAACATACATTTCATACATTTCCTTTAACTGTGTGATTTCCTTTACTAATGAGCGAGCAGTTCTAAAACATGAATTCACAGTTACATTGTCATTTATTTCAATCTGTGGCATACACTGAATTTAATATGCTTTAAAAACACTTGGATGTTTCCTTTGTGGAATATTAAATGTTGCTACTCATTTCTATAAATTAAATGTACCAGAAAAACCCACAGTTTAAAAAAAGTATACAAGAATAAGCTAACTTATCACAATCAACAAAGATGAAATCATGAATTCAAAGTAGTTTAACGTCAGGAACAGTTTATCTTCATGGCAAACATTCACTTTACGCAAATCCCACTTGGCTTCATTTAATTAAAAAGCTGAAAAAGAAAGAAAATTATTATGTGCTGAGTATAATGAAACATGTAAATATAATAAAACTGTCATAACTTTTAATCCATACAGCTAGCTTTCATATCAGGACAATTTGTCTAAACTGGTTCTTAGAGTAGGGTCAGGAGCAGGGTGAGGATAGGGTTCAGGGTGAGAGAAGTTAGTAACTTGAATTTTTGGTACTTAAATTCACATAAATAGCTCCTTCTTTTGCTGGATACCAACAGCAATAGTTCAATCAGCATTTAAAATGATAATATAGGGGAAATAAAGGGAAAGGATTGAAAGAAATATTTGAAGTGAGCCATTTGAATATCATAAATATTGTTTTTCTTATCCCTGAATTGGTATTTTTACCTACTTATGTAAAGTAGTAGTTATTTAAACATTTGGTATTTTATAATTAATGTTTCCTTTATTAAATAACAAATAGAAACATACCTCTAAATCTTAATAAAGTTTTCATCGAATCTAATGAAACATCACAGAGGCTTATGCATACAGAAGCATGAGAGATCTTCAAAAAGTTCATGGAAAATACATATTATGAAACCCAGCCTGGATTTCAAAAGTTTCTGCAGCAAGAAAAATTTATATAATTGCATTTTCTACAAAATTTTTGAAGAGAAGGTAACTATTAAAGCTTTCCTAAACAAAGTGTTATTTATCTTTGTGTGACAGTCAATTTTTGAACACTTGCTAAGCTTTTGTTTAAGATTAGTAGCTTGGTGCTAACATGGCATGTCTTTTTGAGTCCTGATAGCATGTGACAACTTTGTAAGACATTGGAGACAAACCATATTTTTACTAGATATTAAAATTAGTGGTTACTGCAAATGTGAAAAGCATATTGTATGACAATTCTTGAAGCTGCTAAGTTTTAATATTTGTATGTTTAAATTATAATATCCTGAGCATTTACTGCTTTCTCTTTCTGAACCTCGGTTTCCTCAATAGGGAAAGAACACATATATTGGATGATCTCCAAAGTTCTCTCTGGTGCTACTATTTGATTCTCATGATTCTCTGTTTTAAGTATATACAGGTTTAAAATGTTTATAATAAATCCTTTAAAATAAATGTATACATTGCATACAAAATCAGCATTATGAATGACTTATTTGTACCCCTATGTTTATTGCAGCTCAATTCACAATAACTAAGATATGGAATCAAGCTAGATGTCTATCAACTGATGACTGGATAAGGAAAATGTGGTGTATATACACAATGGAATACTACTCTGCTGTAAGAACAAATGAAATCCGTTCTTTTGCAAGAAAATGGATGCAACTGGAGACCATTATGCTTAGTGAAGTAAGCCAATCCCCAAAAGAAAAATGTTTTCTGTCATATGTGGTAGTTAATAAAGAATACAACAAAAGTATAAGAATGAAACTGACATCTGATTTGGTTATTGTTTATATCCCTTGTCTATACTCCTGTTGACCAGTGGTCTTTCTACTATTTACTTGTTTAACATATGGTGAGTGGTGCACTAAGCTTGTGATTATAAAGTAATTTGAAATTATGTTATTGTAAAATTAAAGAGGGAACAAGAAGGAAGGAAGAGGAATTGAGAAGGAAGGCAAGTATGGTTAAGTTCTTAAAATTCTACTTATGAAGTTCATGGAATCTTTTCCCTTTTTATTAAGAATTTCAAGAAGAATAAAGAAACAATGAACAGACAAATAATATGGATTAGATACTTAATCTAAGTTAAAATTTGATAATGAGGCAATACAAACCATTACTTTGCATATGATTCTGAGGAATTAGTACATTATATGCGCTGGTATCAGGATGCACTGGGATAGGGGTTTTATTTTTTGAGAAACAATTTTTGACTGAAGGACCACAGAGATATTATCATTTCTATGAAAAAAGCATAACATTTCTATGAAAAAAGCTCAATCCATAAAATCCTTAACATCACTGACGGCAAAGCAGACAGATACGTCATTTGTAGCGGACACATCTTTGGCATTTCTGTCCTTAACTAAAGGCTAAAGCCAACTAATGAATGAGTGTCAGTGAACAAAAGAAACCTCAGTAAAATGTTAGAAAAATTGAGGTTTTGTAGTTCTGGGTTTTGTTTTGGGTTTTTTTCTTTCCATACTGCTAATCTGAAAATTCTGAAATCTTAATTTGAGTGCTTTAGAGCACTAAAGGTAATGTTTATTGCAAAAAAAATCACTGCAAAAGCAAATATAGTACTATAACCCTGTATGATAATTTTATATTCCTAACTTTTAGAGATTAACGGTTAAAAAAAGATGCTATATTTAATGTTATTGTATTCAGAGTAAAAGGCCTTCATGTGCATTCTCAACACAAAAGTAGAGTAAGAAGTTTAAGTGAGCTATGTGTTCTTCTGAACTGCAGGACTTAGTAATTACTGTAAAAACCTATTACAGTGGTCACTTGTCAAATCTCTTATTAGATGACATGTAAGTGTGTATATATATACACCCACAGGTGGCTGTTTAATCATGGACTGATCAATTAACATATTAAAGGATAAATATAACAGGTAAATTTATCATTCTATTATATTTGATATTTTCCATAAATAGTTATAAAAACTTCTTTACAAATATTTGTCAAGGGAAAAATTCAAAGTACAAAATGTAAAAGTTTTGCTAGTTAAAATGTTTCTTAGAAAAGCATGAACTGGCCGGTGCCGTGGCTCACTAGGCTAATCCTCCGCCTGCGGCACACCGGGTTCTAGTCCCGGTTGGGGCGCCGGATTCTGTCCCAGTTGCCCCTCTTCCAGGCCAGCTCTCTGCTGTGGCCAGGGAGTGCAGTGGAGGATGGCCCAAGTGCTTGGGCCCTGCACCCCATGGGAGACCAGGAGGGGGCACCTGGCTCCTGCCTTCGGATCAGCGTGGTGCACTGGCCACAGCGCGTCGGCTGTGGTGGGCATTGGAGGGTGAACCAATGGTAAAGGAAGACCTTTCTCTCTCTTTCTCTCACTGTCCACTCTGCCTGTCCAAAAGAAAATTAAAAAAAAAAGCATGAACTGTTAATCTCCACGTAATCATTCTGTATTTCATCCTTTATATTCATTATATAAATATTAACTATACCGGCTATGTTCAACTATAAATGTTTCAGGTTGATGTCATCACTCAAGGGATTAGTGATTCATTTCTATTATTCAGGATGTGACACATTTTTCCTCTTTACCTAAAAATTTTGATAATCTAACAGTATAACATTACAGATTTATGCTTCCAATGATGCTTGGATATTTTTCCTAGTAATGATTTTCAAAAATGTATAAATGCTTTTGTATCACATAGAAACAAAAAACTGTCACAAATACTAAAAGCTGAATAGGTTCCTCTTCTTTGAGTTTTCAGTGTTTGATTCCTGAGAGAGCAAGATGCTGTCTTGCAGATCACCTTCAACTTCCGCCTGGACTACATTCCAGTCTCTGTAGTGAAGAACAGTACTGGAGCTGACAGCAGTCTGCCTACGCCCAATGCTGAGTCCCCTGGCCAGCCTGTTGGAAGTGATTACACGCATGCTTCAATGCAGGTAAGTGACGTGGATGAAAGCTCCTTGCTGGTACTTATTGCACACAAGGAGATGAGACAGGAGGGCAGAAACAGCACAAACATGCCCAGAGGCTCTGCTTTCTAGCCCAGAGAGATGCAGTGCTTCATCCTAGGATGTGCCACTGATCATTGCTTGAAGTTACAAAGAGCTCTGATTCTCTCTCTCTCCCCCTCTCTTTCCACAATATTTTGACAATGTTTAACCACTCCCTTCCTTAAGGCTGGCTCTCATTACTCCCTCACATTAGTGAACAGCCAGGATTTAGATAAAAATATTGCCCTTCATTTTTTGAGTGATGTTAGAAAAGTTCACTGACAAGTTTAACATTTGATTTAAATTTTCTAAAATCTAGGCCAAAAGGGCTAGTTTCATTCAGTATTCAACAAAAATCTACTGACCATCTATATGGAGAAGAATACTGTGTACAGGAGAGTGTTGCCAGAAGTAGAATAACTGAACGTTAGAACCTTACGTTTCTTTTATCTTTGAGAGAGAAAATTCTGGATAAATTAATAATGACATATTTGATAAGAATGGCTAGTCAAAATGTTACAGGAAATAAACAAATGAAGTAAAATTATGCATTTTGAGGACAGTAAAATAAAGGAATAGCAGCCTAAATTAGAGCTGACTGGAGAAAGGTATTTAAGAATGAAAATCCATTAAATGCTGTGTTCAGTGTGGCTAAACTAGGAGTCAGCACACAGTTTAAGGGCAGCCAAAGTTAAGTATTTTAAATTTGTGGGCCTAGCACCTTATTGAAAGCAATACAAATAAATTAGTGCAGTGCAAAAGCAGCCTCTGACAAGACATTAACAAATGTGGTTTGCTTCAGTGAAGGAGTAAACACTGAAATTTGAATTTCATGTAATTGCTACATGTCACAAAATATTCCTTGGTTTCATTTTAACTGTGGAAACAGGAAGCAGTTTCTGACTGCTGCCCTAAATGACAGGGTAGACTGAAGCTTGTACTCTGAGAGACTTGACCAAATTTAAAATAATTCTTAATAGTGATTAATACAATGTTATGATACAGCTGGTAGATCATATACATTGCAGAGAACAGCTGACGGCACTGAAATACATTTATGATGTCTAAAAGTAAAACATGTATTTTATCATATAATGCCTAGGCTCACAATACATACAGCCTGACGTACTGACAGTAGATCTAGGTATTAGGATAATTATTTTTTTCATTTGGCTTATCTGTTATCTTCTATAGAAGGGATGTGTATTAACTTTTCCCTCCTCATTATTGCCCACTAATTAACTCTGATGAAGAAGCAATGTAATCAGTGCATATCTTAAAATGGTAATTCTGGGATGACCCTATAATAAGTGATGAATTACAGAGAACAAGGATTAGATGTTGTGAGACAAATTAGGAGGCAGTCTGAAAGACATTGTACGTATAAATTAATGTGCCAGCAGTGATGGAGCCCAAAGCCAATAACAGGAAGTGGGGTTCCTTCTTATGTAACTTGAGAATGACAGTGTTTTAGGGAAAATGGGGATGGGAGGAGCAAAAATAGGTTTGGAAGCTGAGAATATGCTGATTTTGGACACGCTGAGAGTAAGCTGTTAAGATGGTAGTCAGCTCTGGTTTTGAACCACAGGAGAAGGATACGGATTCAATATGTATATCTGGGGACTGAGAAGTAATTAAAAAATGAATATTATAAGTGCCATGTAAAGAAACTCCTGTGATAAAAATTCAAAGAGGGGAAGTTCCTGTGAGGAGAACTCTGGATTCTGTCATTACAGACATAGGCGATATCCAAAACAGACTTGTTCCTTGTCTTGTGTGTGAAATATCTAAACTGGTACCACTCACTGGTTTGCTGTTTGGTTTTGTTTTTACATTTCTTACATTACTCTATTTATTTCTGGTGTTCTGAAGAATCTAGAATGTATACAGGGTTCTGGAATGAAAGCATCTGTTCCATTAGGACTTGGTGCAGCTCTCCTCTGAGATCTTCAGTTGGACAGACTGTTCCTGTTAACAAATTGCTTTTCTTGTTCATAAACCAGGGTGGAGGTCAGGGAGACCTAATGGCACCCCATCTTACAGAAATCACTTACATGGCTAAGAGACAGCTGTTTGGATTCCATTTTGGTATCTTGCGTGTTTATTGCAACCCACTGATTTTTACTTACAATGTTTTAAGCCTTTATAAGTATTAAATGCAGAATGCTAGAGAGAAGTGCATTTTGGCTGTTAGCCCAGGCCATGTTAGCCATAAATTCTGCAGCTTCTTGGTAATACCAGACTACTGAACCCAGAAAAATCTTCAAATCTGAAATAAATAGTCTTTAAAAAAAACAAAATGGCCTACAGTATTTTAGCCTTGGTGTGGAGTAGGATAAGAACCTTTGTGAATAGAAATCCTTCTATATGTATACTGTAAGTGGGTAATAGCTGTCATGTCTAACTACTTGGATTCTGACCTATTCTCTACACACCTGCAGAGAGAGCGCCAAGAGTTTTGATGGCATGACTATAGAATGATGAGAAATGTGGCCGCCCGGTCTGAGGAGAAAAGAATAAGAAAGCTAGTGTGTGGGGAAAGGGACAGATGAGGAGCACAGGTCTCCTTCACTGCTTTCTGTGAGTTGCTAGATGGGGAGTTTCTGCCAGAATGACAGAGTAGTATTTCAGTTTTGAGATGCTGGGAGGTGCAGTATCGAATTGGGTTTTAAAGTTTCTAAAAAATTCTGAACTTATATAAAAGTTCCTGGTATTTATTTCTGATAGTATCAGATATTTATTAAAACTTAAATAGTTAGTGGTTTGGAATGATCACATTTTGTCTATTTAATCTTAGATATTAAGGTTCATGTTGTTAACAGGAATGAGATGTAAGTATTTTTCTAAGCAGAATATATTTCTGCCTATTGATTTAGGTTTACTTTTTCTTTGCTAAGAGTGATAAAGTGCTAAGTTTGCTGAAGTGATAAACAAAAGAAGGTAAATAAAGGGGATAAATAATCTTATTAGTATTATTTTTAAAGATACACTATGTCAAATGGCTAATTCCAAACTCAAAGATCAGAAGACTGGCCCCTGCAGCAGTTGAGTGTTACCTTGTATTTGTAAAACAGAGTGTGCTATCACTTGTCTTACATGAGAGAAATGTTTTTAATTTGCAAGATGAGGCAAACTGAGGCTCAGAGAAGGGAAAAAGACTTGCCTGAGGTTACAGAGTTTTTAAGTGCCATGGTCCAAATCTCATCTTCTCACTCAAAGTCCAGATCACTTTCCAATACACCACAATGAAATACAACAATATGGAAAAAATAATCCTTAAGATGGAATTTCCATTTGCACAATATTATTACAAAGTTCAGCACTATATTCTTTATCTAGATAAGACAGAGGATAGACAATAGTGCCTTTATAGTGCTTTTCTCTGCATATTCCGACCTTTGTCATTCTTCAAAACTGGGACCGAGCATGAGAAAAGCAAAATGAGTGAAATTACTGTCAATGATATGTCCTTGAGGCTGATTACCACACCATTTCTACATTGCTTTTCAATTTGTACAGCTCCAGAGTGTACAGCTCCTTTTTCCCTACAGATGGAGAATGCACACTGTACATCCTGGGATTTTTGTTTTGAGACTTGCTGCACTTGTTCACCATCACACTGACCTGAAAATTTGTAAGAATGTCTTTGCTTTCTAGCTCACGTTCTCTTACTGAGTGTTCTTCCGATTTTTGTTTTTATGCATCTTTCAAAATAACCTGGGACATCATGTTCCATTAGTATCTTTATAAAATAATGGAAAACACTTGGACTCCATCACTAGCTTAACTTATAATGTGTTTCTTACTTGTACGCTAGCCAACTCAGAATCCATTTAGCTTTGCAGCAACTGACAACGCTGGAGGTTGTCACTCCATGTAAATTGCAGTTTCTATGGCAAACCAGCACTCTTCACTGTATTCTATTTTTAATACCTCCTATTGCATTTCCAGCGAATAGATAAGGAATACAATTTTCAAACAAAAAGATTCAATTAAAAAGTATACGATGAGCACCTACTATGTGTATAGCATTTTGGAGATATAAAATAGGTATTTGTCAAGGACCCTTCCCCCAATACCTTACAGTCTTCATGAAGGAAAGGGGCTGATGGATGACACAGTTGTGCATACATATGTAATGAAAAGGTAATGTGGCACAGTGCTCCTGAGTAACTTCTAACATGGCTAGAACAGGTGAAGAAAACTAGGGGAAGTGATCTTTATTGGTAGTCCCTTAAATGTGGTATGTTTCCAATAAATTCTAATTTATACCCATAAAATTCCAATATAGGCATTATTATATCAAGTTTTCAGATGCAGAAACAGCTTAAAAAGTTAAATATACTGGCAAAAGATAGAAAATAACGAGGGACAAATCTAACAAACTGAGCCTGTCTCTCATTCCCTAAGAACTCTATTTTCAAGTGGAAAAAGTAGTAACTAAGTCGCAAAGTTAGCAAGGCGAGGATCCAAGACTCGTGGCAGATGTGTCTAACCGCAGAGCCAGAGCTCCTTGGTGATGACTGTATGAGACCTGAACCTGGAACTCCCTCTAATTACTGTTTTTCCATGGTGGCAAACTGACAGGTAAAGAGCTTTAAGGACAGTTAGGAATCCAAATGACAGAATTAAAGTGAAAGAATAATTAATGTTATATTTTTACTAAAGCAGAAATGTGAGACACCATAAATGCCCCTGAAGAAAAGGGTACCCACTGGAAAGTATCATTCTCTGGATTCCATGTAGGTCATGGATTCCCACTAGCACTTTACTAGCCTTATTTTCTAGGAAAAGCAAAGAGTTTTTATGTAATACACAAAATAAATTCAGTGCTACCACTGAAATGCAGTTTCGTCTGTTTTGATGATAATTAGATCAAAATCTTAATTATCCTAGTATTTCACTGACACTTTCAAGGGACTCTGGAGCCCAATTAAATTCATCAAAGTTTCAGGGAAAATCTGTTCTTTACTCAACTGAATTATGCAAATGCAAAACAAAGCTATTTAATCACCAGTGTAAAAAATAACTGCTTAGAAAAAATTAAATTTAAAACATATCAGAAAATTGTAATAAGCATCAAACATAGATTGATTGCTTAGCATGTAGTATTAATAATAACTTAATAAGTAGCGTGTTAGGTGATTATATGTATTATGCATTCTCTCATGTAAACAGAATGAGGCATGTATAATCACTTCCAGTTATAAAAGATAAGTTAACTGACCACATTTACACAACTAGTAACAAACAAAACGGGGATGCATCAGGGAAGTTTGCTGATTTAGACTTAAAAGACAAATTGGGAAACAGACTAATCCATGCAGAATATTGTGACGCTAAATTTGGGAAATACTTTAGAAAATAGGCAAACATTTATGGTAGATTTTTATCCTTTTATGCAGATATATATGTCTACAAAGAAAACAGCAAATTTGAAGTCAGTATGAAGTACGAAGGTATACATGTTTAAAGTTTTTGAGGCTTCAGCTTAAAAACCAGAAAAGGATCAGTCTACTGAAAAGAAACTAAGTGTTGTTGGAGTGAAAAGTAAAGAATGAGAAACCTAACTATGATTATAATTCTGAATGCTTTTGGGATTAAAGCTGCAATCTACGAAATTCAAAAGGAGGACAGCAGAGGCTACAGGTGAGTTGTAAAGTAGTGCCAATGTTCCACTCACAGGCACATTTTCACTAATAGGCATCTCAAGGACAGGTATGACCTAAAACATGTAGAAGCTGTAGGTTGTCTCAAAGCTTCTATGAAGAAGAATGCGTGAGAGGACTGCAAGGATACTGTGAAAAAGCTATGGATGCAATTCAAAATCTCTTACACCAAAATAAACTTAGGTATGTACTCCATTTTCCATGAACTTTAGAAGTACCCTCATAGTACTAAGAACAACCAGAAGCAAAAGCTCCTGCCATTTCAGAGTATGTCTGTATTTATTAATGCACATAAATGAGTGGTAACTACAAAGTTGAGGCTTTTACATTAAACTTATGAAAATTGGATCTGGGCTGGCGCCACGGCTCACTAGGCTAATCCTCTGCCTTGCGGCACCGGCACACCAGGTTCTAGTCCCGGTCGGGGCGCCGGATTCTGTCCCGGTTGCCCCTCCTCCAGGCTAGCTCTTTGCTGTGGCCCCGGAAGGCAGTGGAGGATGGCCCAAGTGCTTGGGCCCTGCACCCCATGGGAGACCAGGAGAAGCACCTGGCTCCTGCCTTCGGATCAGCGTGGTGCGCCGGCCGTGGCGGCCGAACCAATGGCAAAGGAAGACCTTTCTCTCTCTCTCTCACTGTCCACTCTGCCTGTCAAAAAAAAAAAAAAAAAAATTGGATCTGAATAGCCACTTCTTAAAAGTTTTAAATTTTCTGTTTGAATACTACAAATCTGTAGACTTTCAGAACATATAGCAAGGACAGAAATCTGTGTGTGTGCAACATTCTATTCATGGACATGCAACTTTGAGAAAAGTCATTTCTGCAAACAGAAAATGGAGATTTTGATGCCTACATGACTAATTAATGTCCTTAGAACATACAATCAGTATTAATCTGTTACTGAATGAAGCTTTTTTTTTCCAGCCATGAAGTTTACTGACTGAAATACAATTGCAGTTTGAACTTAATTTGTATTTTGCATTTACTCAGCATAGGTAAGGACATTTCAAAAAGTTCATGGGAATTACAAGATAAGTATATTTTTGTGCAAATACTTGGTCATCACCAAGTTCGTGGAAAATGTATGCTAAGGAAAACAATGCACAGTTCAATTCTAGCTTCCTATCAGCTTGAGTGCTCTCAAATACTGGCCGAGGTGATGCCCTTTTTTCGGAATCTGGTGAATGAGCAGTAAGGAAGGCTTCTCTGTCCACAGGGAGTTTGTACCTAGTAGAGGAAACATTTTCAGTAATCGTACAATTGCTAGGAGCATCCACATGTTCATGCTTGTTTCTTTAAAAGTTTTCATTTGATTTCAATTTTATTAGACTGAAGAAGTTTAAGCCCCTATTTTACTTTTAAAATTGTTTCACTGCCTAGCAAAATAGTGCCTTTCATCGGGTAAAACTAACACAAATAAAAAAGCACAATGCATGGAAAAGCATTTTCAGAGATGTTTTTAAACAAAACTTTGAAGATCTTACTGATTATTATCTCAAAGATATAAACGACTTTTTTGATCCCGCAGAGAATGGACTGCCAGGAGAATTTTTTTTTTTTTTAACAATTATAAGGATTAGTCTCTTAGCAGTGGTGGATTTAAGACAGATAACATAAGCTGTTTATGAATATCCTACAGCATCATAATACACAAAAATGATTCATGTCCTGTCCTCTCACATTCTCATGATTCCCTGTATCATTCAGATAGCGTTCAAAATGATTACCACATCCTGTGAGGTTCCACGTGATGCACACCTTCACCCCACTGTGATCTACTGGCTTTGTTTCCTACTTAACCCTTTGCTCATTTTACTCTGTAGATAATTGTCTCCCTATTTCTCAGATTCACATTCTTTCCTCAGGTTGCTCATACTCGCTGCTCCCTGTACTAGAACATTCTTTCTCCAGACAGTTCCATGGCTGACTATAATCGCCTCCTTTAGATCTTTACTATAATATCCTCTTATCAGTAAAAGCCTTCCTTGACCTATCACCCACATTTTACCACCACCCTATTACTTTCTCATTTAAGTATCCTTTAGGTTCTACTTGTTTTCTGACGTCTTATCACTGTGCTTCCTTTATCCACTCAAAAGGAAGAATTATGAGGACAGAGATTGAGGTCGGTTTTGTGGTGACAGCCCCTTGTATCACAACTACGGTATCTGGATGATCAACTTAATAAATTAATAACCCCATTGCACAGGATGCCACAGATTTAGAATTCAAACTACATGGGATGCTAATGGCACACCGTAGCACTAATGAGAAGGAAAAGTAACTTGCAGGAAGGAGACAGAGGCTGGACCTAGGAAGCAGACCTACGGAAGTTCTATTTAACCTGGACAGTGAAAACTCGACCAATGAGACCTTTCCTCTTAGTTAAGAAGGTTCACAAAGTACACTGAGAGGCTAGCAGCAGGGGCAGGAGCTAATGGCTCAGAGAAAATTCCAATTAGTAGAAGATGAGAGTAAAACACAATTATTTAGTAATCACAGTGGTATAAGAACTGGAAGCCAGAGCTAAGGACCTGAGTTACCTCAGGAGCACGGATGAGAGTGATTGATTTACGTTAACTGACCTGTTTTTCTGAACCTCCACCAACACTGGACATCTAGTTGTGGGACAACTAGGTTTTTAGTTGCTTACCTTGCTTATTCATGTATCTTTAACAAACTTCCTGTTATCTCAAAGTCACCTATCAGAGCGATCACACAACTTTTACTTTAAGTCAACTGGGTGAATAGCAAAATAAATGATAAAGCACTCTGAAGAGTTGCTGTAGCATCCAAATGTCTGCCTCCTATTTATACTGCACATCATACTGGTCAGCTCTGGGCCTCCCCAGTTTCCTTGCTGGCTCTCTTTCATTGTGTTTGATGATTTGTTTTTGGCACTGCTTTTTGTTTTTTTTTTTTTCAAAAATACATATTTATTTGTAAGTCAGAGAGGGAGAGACAGAGGAAGGAGACAGAGACCTTCTATCTGCTGGTTCAGCTCCCAGATAGCCACACTAGTCAGTGCTGGGCTATGCTGAAGCCAGGAGCATCATCCGGGTCTCCCACTTGGGTAGCAGGGAACCAAACACACAGGCCATCTTTTGCTGCTTTTCTTAGGCATTAGAAGAGAGCTGGATCGGAAGTGGAGCAGCTAAGACATGAATTTGTGCCCATATGGGGTGGCCCCTGGAAACTCCTTTGAATGGATCTGAACTATGTCAAACTTTATATTCACAATCGTTTGCATCTCTTACTTGTTTTAAGAGATTTCAACTATAATTCAGGCCAAATGAAAAAACCCATCCCTTGTACGATAAAGAGGCCTTATTTATATGGAAATAAATAAGTAGGCATAAACTTTGATTCAGATATGTTTTACATGTATAGCTAGGGTGATGCCTAGAACACATACTTTTGAAAAGCTTCCAGGTGGTAAATATGAGGATAATTGCTAGGATCATGAAAACATACAAATAGTGCTTTTGTGCCAAAAGAAATCCATCTTTTAATTCCATTTACCACAATAAAGTCCGCTCATGTCATATCTTGCTTTAAAAATAATTATAGGAGAGTTACTGTGCTAAATGGCAATTATTCCTTGAAAAAATGCATACTTGACAATTCATCACATTACAACAAAAATAGCTTTGTCAAATACAACATTATAAAGAATTGCTAACACCTAATTTTTCTCTACGTTTCCTCAGTCCTTGTATTGCTAGGTCAGAGAAAAGCCTGACACGGAATGATATTCTGGCAGGGTTGTGTGCTTTCTTATACAAGGAAACCTGGAATTTGCTCTTTATCTTTTCTTACTTCATGTTAATTAAAAAGGGCTTAAGAATCTGATGACATCCTTTACTTATCTTTACACAAAAAGATATATAATTCAACATGGTTTAACAAACATTGAAGTTAATTAATTTTTAAGTATTTTCAGTATCCTGGATAAGACACAAATGTCAGAGTGTTTCTACTTCTCGTAACTTGTGGATTCCACTACAGAATATACGTAAGTCAAGCTACAACAAATTGTACAGAACCACGGTTCTCAATGGTAAGGCTGGAAAATAAGAAAATGCCTTCATCTATCTTGGACATTATTTAATCTTGGATTTGACTATTTTACACTTTCAAAACCAAAACTGGCAGTGGAATTTTAAGAGTAAGTGGAGAAATTGGACACTTTGCCTGCCTTTATCATTCTTGTCTTCATCAGAACTGCTGCTTTAGACACGTATTCTACAGGCAGGGTTTAGGAAGATCACCCCGAAACTTCAATCTGATACCAAATTTCCTGCATTCCCCTTGTACATTTAATGAGCATGGCAAGAACACAGTGAGAAATGGGCCTCTGCCCTTACGAGAAAAACAGTCTTATTCTTTCACTCTAATTCTGTACTAACATCTTCCTGTCATGGGACTAGTTTGGTCCTCTAGGTAAAGCTACATTGTTGTCATGATCTAAATCTCTTAAAATGTCCCTTGTTTTTATGTGGAAGGGGGATGTATGGTGGTATGACCTTTTAATTGTCTACTAAAAAAATTACTGGCTCTATTACTTCAATAGACAGTTTTCAAAATACCTGAAAGGAAATACAGAATTCCCATTTCTTTAGAGAGGAAGGTGGATTCCGCTACAAAAAGACTCCATAGAAGGTGAAAGCTCAACAGCCAAGTAAGAAAAGATGAGAGAGTAATATGCTCAAGAAGTGAATACATGACTAACTCAGACTAAACACCAAGTGAGTCTTAGAGCATTTTATACATCTCCCCACCTTCCAGTACATGTTAGAAAAATCTTATGAGATACTATGACTATGAATGTCCAGAGATCACTTTTATCATTTGACTTTTCACAATTCCAGTTGGCTTTTATTTACAGAATTTAAAAGATGCAAAGTTAATGAGACACTGAGTAGATTATGAGAAAACAATCTTAAAAATAAAATCAGGATGAATTAGACATATCAATGGAAGAAGAAATTTTGAAGAAATCCATAAAGCTCATTGTTCAACACAGACGCACATGTACACACATACATATCTGGTATATGGTAAAACTATACCCTGCTTGGGATCAAGTTCTATGCTGAACACATGGCAGGTGCTCACAAACTTGCTTAACAATTTAAAATCAGTTAAATGAGTTAGCTACTTTAGAGTAATCCTTAAATTGTTCATTAATTAAACTCCTATTTACAGCTAAAAAATGAAAACATTTACATTAGTATAAAGATATTACCTGTAAGGATAGCCATGGTACTTGGAGCGAAAGATTGAAAGTAGAAAACTGAAGAAGAAGACAACCAGGCCAAGCCCCACTATGCAAATTACTAGAAAGACCAGAAATATGGTTACTGTCTGAAACCATGCAAATGACAACCCAAATATTTATTCTTTGAATTGATACTTACATTTAATCATGGCACATGCAGGTAAAACAGATAATTCATAATACAATGTATTCATAATTTTCTATATTCTTAATGAAAATGTACTAATAAGGGTATAAAAACAATAAGATTGAGTGATCGAAGTCGTCTTGTGGTTTTCTTCTCTTAAAAAATCCTACAATTACTAAAAAGCCCCAGAGAAATCAAAGCATCATAAACCATAAACAAAATCATTAGCCCCTGCATTATGAAGCTTCGGCTAAAATAGCATTTGTTATTTGAATGCCAAAAAAAATTTTATTGTATTTCAGATGTCATGTAACATTTAAAAACAAAGAAAATATTGTTATAGGTTAGATTATGGTCTGTCTAAATGCATGGTACCCAGAAATAGGTCACCCTGATATACAAGGTTAGGAATAAATGCTTGGAGAGTAAGAAAACAGTCCCAGCGGAAGTCAAGGGATAGGAAAAAACCTTCAATAGTGGGTCACAGCGCCTAAGCACTGTTTAAAAGGCAATGGAGAGCATGTGTTTCAGGAATGTGCTGAGGTCTACATTTTCAGTATTACTTCTCTGACAAAAGGGAAATTACTTTTTAATTTTTTAGTTTCCATTAGGGTCAGGAAGATTTTATTCTCAAAGCATATGAGCAATAAAGTATACAAATATGAAAACATTAGGTTTCTTTGGCATCTATATACGTAGAGACAATTCACTGGATTTTAGAAATTTTACATGATTATAAAAATATGCTTAAAATAAATAGCCAACTAGATATTTTTAGTGAAAGTAAAATATTTAGCATTTTACTTAAATCTGTTCTACAAATAAGTAGTATTTATTGTTCTTTTAATATCTAAATATACTTTAAGACAGAATTATACCTTTACATTCTTTCCTAAGTTTCAGAGAATTCTCAAAAACTCTGAAGAATGTCTAAGATAATTAGTTAAAAAATGTTATGACAAACATGTTAAGGCATAAAAGGAAAATCAAATCTACATGCTTCTATAATAAAATAATTTTTACAAAAATTTTCTAGCACACAAATGAACCTTGATTTATAGTCCTCGACATCAGGGAATAGAAAAGGAATGGCATTGTCAAAACACAAATAGTTTTGAGTGTAAATTGTGAAATTTCAGAAGTATTAAATAGCATCCAACTGTAGCCTCTGTGACATTTCACTTAACATCTGTGTAGTTGAAATTCAAATATTGTTATTTGGAAATTGAGTTTTGCTTTATTGTATATCACATAATGAAAAAGATCCTTAAATTGTATACTATCCAAGATGACAGACACCAGCCCCTAGATATAACATATGAACAATCACTAATGACAATCTTACTAAATCTAAAATTAATTGCACAATAATTTATTTTGCCAAATCTTTTTCTTATACTTTATCTCCTTGTTTCAGAAGAGGATTTCAGAATTAATTCCCTTTATTGCTTTTAGTAGCCTCACTAGTTTGCGCTCAATAGGAAATGAGGCTCAACATATATGGTCAAATAAAACAGAATGCATTTGATTCTATGCAATCAGACAAAACATTGCCACTCAAATACTTCTATCTGGAAACAGAGGGACTGAATGTGGGGGCTTATAACACATCCACCCTAAGAAAATAATGCCATGATAAAACACTCCAACCTGGGAACTATTAATCATCGTAGGTCTATCACATAAAAATTGAAATCAAAGTAAAACAAAAATAGTATTAAACTGCATTTCATGTATTTCTCTGCTCATACATGTGCTTATTCTCATATGCTTTTTCACATATACATGTACACACACATAATTCAAGGTGAGTAGAAATTGGAATTATTATACAGCTCTATGCCAATACAGAAGTCAGAAGTAGTGATTTTATAAAACTAGTGTCACAGATATTGTGAAATTTAAAAATTTATGTTTCTTGCTGACTTGACAGGATGTAAGATATACAATGTTAAGGTTATGTCCTCAGAAGCATCAGTTATTAATTCCTTCCTATTTACTAAAAAAATATAAAATACGCCGATTTAAACAAATTACTGTGCTCATTTCATGTGTACAACTATGTATAAACATCATGGAGGCCGGCGCCGCGGCTCACTAGGCTAATCCTCCGCCTAGCGGCGCAGGCACACTGGGTTCTAGTCCCGGTTGGGGCGCCGGATTCTGTCCTGGTTGCCCCTCTTCCAGGCCAGCTCTCTGCTGTGGCCAGGGAGTGCAGTGGAGGATGGCCCAAGTGCTTGGGCCCTGCACCCGCACGGGAGACCAGGAGAAGCACCTGGCTCCTGCCATCGGATCGGCGTGGTGCGCCAGCCGCGGCGGCCATTGGCAGGTGAACCAATGGCAAAAGGAAGACCTTTCTCTCTGTCTCTCTCTCTCTCACTGTCCACTCTGTCCATAAAAAAAAAGGCATCATGGAAAATAGAAGCCTAAACTGGGCATTACACACTTCATATTTAAACACTTTGGACTTTAAGATTTATTTAAGGGGCAGGGTTATAAAGAGTTCACTCCCCAAATGGTCCAAATGGTCCCAACGACTGGAGCTGGGCCCATCTGAAGCCAAAGAGCCAGGAGCTTACTCCATGTCTCCCACATGGGTGCAGGGGCCCAAACATGTGAACACGTGGGCCAATTTCCACTGCTTTCCCAGGCCATTAACAGGGAGCTAGATCAGAAGTAAAGCAGCTAGGTGTTTAAGCAGCACCCATGTGGGATGCCGGCACTGCAGGTGGAGGCTTAACCTACTACGCCCTAGCGCTGGCCCCAAATTAAAACTTTAAAGTATTCAGAAATCACTGAGTTATTTACTTCCATATCAACCTAGTTAAACTCCATAAAGTCTGGACATTTGATAGCATAATTATTAGTCTTTTCCAAAAATCTATGCTTCTCCTACACAATTTCAGAGTTCTAGAAAAAAAAGTTCAGAAATGCAAAGTATATTAAAAATTTAAATAGCATTTGTGAAGCTATAAAGTTATACAGGGATCTGATATTATGAGAAGGATGGTAGCAAGACTCCAGGCCTCTGTCTTTTCCCAGTGGAAGCTTCTCCTGCACCGATTACCTCTCTGCTACAAAGACGTGTTACTTCAGGGAACTACATAGTCTTTCTCTGACCCTGAGAAGAACAGTACCATCAAGTGACAAAATGTAGTGAATCTGCTTAAAAACACAATGCTGGAACAGATAGCGTGGTAAATTCCAGTATTTCAATGGAAAAAGCAGAATCCTCGGAGAAGGCAGTGTGAAGAACGGTCCCCTTCAAAAAGTGTTGATGAAGGGTGAGTGTTGTGGCAGACCCACCAGCGGTAATGCCTGGATCTCATATCAGAGCATTGGTTCAAGTGCCAGCTGCTCCGCCACCTCTCCAGTTCCCTGCTAAAGCAGCAGGGAAGACAGAAAGATGGCCCAAGTGCTTGGAGCCCTGCAACCCCCAAGGGAGACCCAGATGGAGTGGTCGGCTCATGGCTTGGGCCTGGACCTGATTTGGCTGTTGCAGCTATGTGGCGGGTGAACCGATGGATGAAGATCCTTTTCTTCCTGCCTGACCCTCTCTGTCACTCTGCCTTTCAAATAAATATAATAAATCTTTTTTTAAAAGGTGATTTAAAAAGGGTTTAGAGGTAACTAGAAGTAGTATTTTATTTCAGCAACTAAAACTTTTGCAGAAACTTCTCCATCTCAGTCAGACTTTGAGTGTATACTGATTATTGTGGCATAAGAAATGCTATTTGTGCCAATAAAATCTCTGAAGATTTGCCAATAAAATCCTCTCTATATAAGGTGGGTGTTACACCAAAGATAATGGCTACAGCAGAGATATATCACTGTATCCCACAGAATATAAATATCATTTTGGAAGCAATATATTTTCAAGTATATGCATACATCAAAGACATACAAAAAAGAAAAATTAAATAAAACCACAAAATACAATCAAACAAACTTAACCTTACATTTACAAAAGGCTTTTATATAATTCTCATTTGATCTAAATGTACCTTAAGACTTACACCAAAGGCCAATATATCAACACAAAGACTTACTCCGTCTCTTTCCAACATCTCCTTTGGAAGTCGCTGCTTCATTTAGAAGAACCATCCCCATGGTAATAGCAGCATCTACAGTAGTTGTTAAGGAAACAGTAGAAACAGATGCAAATAAAATCTAACTTATCAGTATCTGAATACAATGTTCCAGAACGGCATATTACAAATGCGCACACACAGGAAAATGTAACTGATTCTTTTTATATAACACAAAATTACCATTATTGGAGTATGTAAATATGCCTTGATTTTTAAAGTAAGCTGAAACTTCAATTTTGAGAGTAATTCTAAATACTCAAATTCTATGACTTTCGTAATGTGGATAAGTTATATGGACTTCCAAAACCAGGTATTATATTTCACATAACGATAAATATTAGTAATAACATATTTGTCAATCAAAAAAATGGAATGTATTCAGCTTTTTTATTTTTCCATTTTCACAGTATGTGCGTGTGTACATGTGTGTATATAGCTTTCTTCTCCTTGACTCCTAAGTGTACCATTTCATCCACTGTTTGTTTAAAGCAACCTCTGTGAATCAGTCATGATGTCACTTGGAAATATTTGGATATCCAATTTCAAGCTTTACAAAAGCAAACAAGTACATTGTAATAAAACAATGAGTTTAATGGGATCTTAATCTAGTCAGTTAACTGATATTTTAAAATGGAAATATGAAATTATTTCTGTACTTATTTCAGCTTGTAACAGTATAAACATAGTCCTGCTATGCTGAGATGCCACTGATGAAGAAAATTATGGGAGCTTCTGACTTTATCACAACACTATTCATGAATTGCATGAAAATTTCACCTTAATATCATTTTCCCTGAAATTTTTAAAGGCCCCTGGCATTATGTATCATGCCCAAATGACTAATGAATTGTAAAATGAAAAATATAACCCAGAATTTTCTCTGCTCAGTTTTATTAAAATTTCTTTATACTTGCTTCTATTGTTATATGTGTACAAACAACAGGCTATTCCTAAGTGCTTTCTACCACTGATAGCAGAAGCTAAAAGGATATTGTAGGGGCCTGTCTATGATACTATACAGAGGTCTATCAAATTCAGTATAAGTATTTCTCAACTGAGGCTCTTTTCATAACTGTATCATCAAATTTCTGATTATAATATATTTGTATGTTCTTGACCATTTCATCCAATTTTTGATAAATAATATATGGTAAATAATATATGCCTTGTTTTTCTAGTTAGGCATTTGCAAACTTCTATACAACTAATTTTAAAACTGATCTATATAATATTATAATTTTACTTTGATTGTAATGCATACAAGAGAAAAATACACTCCCCAACATTACCACACAGTGTTAAGACCAAATTTAATTAGTGAATTTCTGGGTTCAACTGTATAGCAATGACCAGAAAAGGATTTTTTCATAGAACAACTACTATTAGTGCCAGTATGATAATGAGTCTGTGGACTTGAAGGATTCACTATTAGTAAAGTGTTTAGGCAAATCTACTTATTATCCCCTCTCCAAGTTCACAGTCATAGGACATTGTTAATAAAATGAGGGAAACAGCATTAAAAACTTGGATCACTAAATCTGCTCACAGGTACATTTGTATTGCTTAACCTGTTTTTTTGGAGCAAACAGATGTGATCGTTGTGGAGCCTTAAAGAGCTATTAGGATTCCCCCTTAATCTTTTTCTGAAATATTCTTTTATATTAAGGAATTTTTAATCTATACACTTAAACACATTTATTTGTAATTCATGCAAGATTCTAGATCCTTTTACCTATGACAAAATGCATTTCTAAAAATATTCAAAACATGAATGGCACTTAAAAAGGCACTGATGTATAGATGTGAAAAAATGTATTCTATTTATTACTCCATCTACTAGAGAGCTCTCTCAGGTCTATTAATAAAAATCACGGGAGGGGGGCAGTGCCCGAGGCACAGGTTAATCCTCCGCCTACGGCACTGGCATCCCATATATGGGTGCAGGGTTCTAGTCCCGGGTGCTCCTCTTCTGATCCAGCTCTCTGCTGTGGCCTGGGAAACCAGCAGAGGATGGCCCTAGTGCTTGGGCCCCTACACCCACCATGGGAGACTGGGAAGAAGCACCTGATGCCTGGCTTCAGATCGGTGTAGCTCGGGCCGTTGCAGCCATTTGGGGAGTGAACCAACGGAAGGAAGACTCTCTCTCCCTCTTGCTCTCACTGTCTGTAACTCTACCTCTCAAATAAAATCTTAAAAAAAATTAAAATAAAAATCATGGGAAGAGTGGCACTATTTCTATACTAGGTAAAACAAAGTTTATGAAATAAAATGTCTGAAAATTGTAACGCATGTCAAAATGTAAAACTACTAGGGTCAATTTTTATATACATATAAACATACATGTATACCAATATATGTATGTGCTTACAAACAGACACGATCTCAAGAAAAGGTATATTAGTCACTTAAGTGTAATATACCCGTCAATGTACTGTCATTCAGTTTTTACTGCTCACTCTGAATTATCACAATGTTGAAAACCAAGGGTAACTATGTGCTTCTCATTTGAATTCCACACAAATCAGAAGACAGATAAAAAAGCTACAATGCTTTTCATAAGATGATTTTTTTTGCTTTAACGACATGTAAGTTGTATCCAAATGTTTCCAATTACAAAAATCCCTGCAAATAATATTGTTTTACATGCCTCCTTAAGTACATGTGCAGTTGTTTCTATATCAAGAGGTACAATTTTTGAGAGGTTAGGTATGGGTATTTTCAAACTTGTTAGTTACAATCATGTTGATCTTTAAAATGAACAATTTAAGAGTTCCCATTTCTCTTCCATTCTGCAGACACAGAGGGGTTTGTATAAACAGCTCTGCATTGGGCATTGCCAACCTTTGGTATGTTCATTCTACATTTTTGCTGCATGTTTTGTATGCTGCTTGCTTTCTTTTGTTCATTTTCTCACAAGCCGACCTGCTTTTGTTATTAATTTGTATGGCATTTTTCATTTTTTTCTGGTTATGAACTGATTTAACGGTTGTATATAGGCCCATGTAGGAGTAATTTATATTTTGTTTTCAAGCTGTTTTATAGAAAAGACTTTAATTTTAATGTGGCTAATCTTATTAATCTTTTCTTTCATGAATTTTGTTTGTTGTTTCTCAAGAAATTCATTCTTACCCCCTAGGACTTAAAAACATTCTCTAGCTTTGTCGTTACTACATTTTAGTAAGCCATATAATGTCATTCTCCTATCCAGAACACTCGAGTAGCTCTTCATCTCACTCTGAGTAAATCTAAATACCTCAATATAGCCTCACAGTCACACATAATGTGCATTCAGACCTACTGCTTATCCTAGTTTGCTCCCACTCTTGTCCAGACTGTTCTTCCACCAGGAAGGTACCCCTCTACCTCAGTATCTCTACCTTTACAGCCTAAAACTTGCTCAAAATTACCGAGCTGGTGAGTAAAAGGTGCCAACCAAAAAAAAAAAAAAAAAAAGCATAAAAGAGATAACACAGGATGATATCAGGGTTAGATGAAAATAATGAAGTTTAGTAAGAGAACAAAAAGTAGTTCAATTTTAGCATCAAATATCTTTATGCTAAGCATTAAACTCCTACAAGGCAAACAGCATTAAAAATTTTACTGCAAAAATGAGTAATTTTGCAAATCAATTTTCAAATTATTCATAAAATTGCTGTTTTAACTGTATTATGATTTTTAGATCATTATATTTCTTGTTGCTTTGAATCAAAGTCTTATAGTGTATTGGTTTTTGTTGGGAGCAAATGTAAAAATATTGTAGAAATTTTCAAATTATCGCCGGCGCCGCGGCTCACTAGGCTAATCCTCCGCCTAGCGGCGCCGGCACACCGGGTTCTAGTCCCGGTCGGGGCGCCGGATTCTGTCCCGGTTGCCCCTCTTCCAGGCCAGCCCTCTGCTGTGGCCCGGGAGTGCAGTGGAGGATGGCCCAGGTGCTTGGGCCCTGCACCCCATGGGAGACCAGGAGAAGCACCTGGCTCCTGGCTCCTGCCATCGGATCAGCGCGGTGCGCCGGCCGCAGCGCGCCGGCCGCGGCGGCCATTGGAGGGTGAACCAACGGCAAAGGAAGACCTTTCTCTCTGTCTCTCTCTCTCACTGTCCACTCTGCCTGTCAAAAAAATAAATAAATAAAAATTAAAAAAAAAAAAAAAAAGAAATTTTCAAATTATGCAATAAATAATATGCACCATCTTATTACCTTAAATTAATAAGGCAGAAAGAGGAATAAAAACCTCAAGTCTGAGAAATCTGTGAGGATTCAGCATGACAGAATCTCAAGAGATCTTCAGTTATCACTGACTGTATGTGCTAGGAGCAGGTTCAGGAGTACGTGCAGAACTCTACTGCTACGAAATTATCACTAAATAAGACAAAATATAAACAAGAAAGGTAATCTACATGCAAAACTATTTGTAGATGAATTTATAGTAAAACGCATCAGTTTTGCTTCAATTACAATTCACATTTTTAATAATTATATACCTCTATAGTTTTAATGATTTAACATCTTCTCATTAGATTTTTGTTTATAGCCCTTGCCTATTTTCCTGTTCCTCTACAGTCCTTTTATTTGTTGAACTCTTTATTTAGTGAAATATTACATCTTTGATTACAATGTAAATCAGAAGTATGTTATCTCAAAAAATAAAGAAAATAATGGAAAGTTAAAGATGTAAATGTGCAACTAATTTTTGGTACATTTATGAGGATACTTCAAAAAGCTTGTGGGAAATGGAAATAAAAACTAAGTTCATTTTCGTGCAAAACTTTAATCCCTACATAAACGGGGTCTTAAAAAAGTTCCTGGAGGCCTGTGCTGGCTCACTCGGTTAATCCTCCGCCTGCAGCGCCGGCATCCCATATGGGTGCCGGGTTCTCTTCCCGGTGCTCCTCTTCTAGTCCAGCTCTCTGCTGTGGCCCAAGTACCTGGGTGCCTGCACCCGCATGGGAGACCAGGAGGAGGTACCTGGCTCCTGGCTTTGGATGGGCACAGCGCCAGCTGTGGCAGCCATTTGGGGAGTGAACCAATGGAAGGA